TGTATGTCCCTTGTAGACTTTCTTCTGTAACACACTGCCCATTCACGTTTTAAGTACAAAATGCCACTGCTCAATCATCCAGTTCTGATTCAATTTGAAGATTCATATGATTCGCTCAGCTGATTTTTAAGCTTCACCTATCATATAAAGCTTTCTTCTTCCTGACCATTTCTGTTATTCATCTATCACCAGCTTCCTCCTCTAACTCAAAATAGTGAGATAGTATGAAAAGCAAAAGACTTCCATGTAATTTAAAATCTAAAGAGAGCCCTTCTTTGCACATCCCTGCCATCATCATTATCTCTGTATTGTCAACTGAATAAAACTTAAAGGCTCTAAGAAGCAAAGAAGTTTGAGTTCTATTGTATTTCTTCACAAGGAACGAGCAGCCTTGTCCGATACACCTTCCAATGTTCGAGAAGGTAATACAGTTATACCAGTACTGCAAAACACACGTTTACAACAAACAAACTTGTGAGCCCTAGAGTATTTACTCCCCAAATTAAAATCTATGTTCTACATAGACTATTACAATCATTTTTATTGGACTTGTACTTGCCCTGATATGCAAAATACTGTCTAGACAAATAGTCCCTGCCCGCGAAACTCATAACTGAAGAAAAGCACACACAGAAAAGTATTGTCAAAAAACAGGGGTGGAAAATCCAGGGAGAAAGAAGGAACACTGGTGTATCTGATTATTCCTCAATCAACAGTGTCTTAAAGTAATGATCAGATTGCAAAATGGTACGTGATAATGTGGCAGATGTTAGTAAGTGCTTACAGTTAAGTCACTTAAAGAGATCAGACAATCGTCGATGAACAGGAAATAAAATGTCTACCAGATTGCTTCTTAGTAGTAAAAGCTCATCATAGGACTGTTCTGTAGAGCTTAAGCAACATTCATGACTCAGCAGTAACTGACTGCTTTCTCTCTAAACAAAACAACAAAAAAAAAAAAAGAAAGGAAAAAAAGCAACATGTATCTTTAAATTTAGCTTAAAAAATCAGCAACTATTTGGTTGGAATGAATCCTTGCTTACATGCACAGCTCATTAAGTCCTCCTGATCTGAACAGTACAATGAAGAAACCCCAATGAAACTATTTTCTAGTGCTACATTTGGAAAAACTGAAAATGGTCTCAAAGTCCAAAGGAACAGCATGTATCCTTGTCAACAGACAGATGATGTTCATGCTTCAGTGGGGCTTTTTTTTCATTGCTGACGCAGGTGTCAAGCAGTAACAGTTCACTCTGTTTCCCCAATAAATGTTTAGTCTTCCACTAGATATCCAGTCATACCGGGTAAGTAACTGCCACAGGAGCCTCAGCTGCTTGCATAAACAAAAGTGTAACTCTATGGACCTCATCATTTTCATTTACTTTTTATTCCACATGATTGTAGAAGATGACTTTATAAACTGTAAACACTCTTAATATTTTTTACTTGATTTACACCTACATAGTTTATTTCACATATAGTAAATTTCTAAAATACTATTTTCAAGAAAAACAAACTAAAATTTCTGTAGATCTTTTCTTACAGCTACATCTAGATAGACAACATTAAGAACAAGGCTAAACAGTATTTTACAATGCATGTTACAATTTCTTTAGGGTGAAGAAGGAAACAAAAAGAACCCTGACTAGAGTTGCTAGTTCACTTTTTGTTACAATAAGCAAGGTCTTAATTAAATTTATGAGTACCAGGGCATATAAAGTGAACTATATATGTAGATCTACATTCTTTTGTCAGAACAAGTAAAACTTCAAAAACACTGAAAGAAGAATGTTGCGAGTACAGCGGCATGTAAAGGTACTACAGAAGAATGCTTTTGTCTCAACTCCAATATGAAATTATCCCGATTCTTCTCCTGCATTATCATGAAGTGAAAACCAAAACCCAACCAATCAGGAAACGAAGAGAGGATGACAGCAGAACTCACTGCTGTATGTAAGGACACAGCTGGAACATCCTAGCATTGTCATCATGTAACTTGAAGTTAGCTTCCAAGAATTATGAACATACTCTTAAGTTACTAGAGTCTGAGGCTATACAACTGAGGAAATTACAAATAAATAGACATGGTAGACTAGGGTCTTTTGAGACAGCACCTATCATTTTTTTTTCACCTTGTAAAGTCAAACAGTAGAACCTCCACTGACTACAATGAAATACGAGCTAAGCTAACGCACTGCTTCTGAAGACACGCCACCATACATTATAATTTATCGCATCTTTAAAGCACAAAAAGTCACTGGAAGTTATTATCAGCCAGTATTTTAGGAGGAAAGTCTTTTCACCTATGCAGAAGTTCAACTACTTTTTAAAAACTTGCTTTTTTCAGGGAATACAAATATTCTATAATTAATATTTTGCTGATGGAAGTTAAACGGCGTACATCCACAGATGTAGGCCACGTCTGTGCACTAGTTTGGATCCCAGTTCAAACAAAACCTGCACCCTAGCTGCCTTATTTGTAACTTTCTGACACGCTCCACTCTACACAGCCTTTAGGCATGGAGCAGTATCTCCAGTCCGAATGTGCTCCGCTCGCCATGCAACTGTGCACAGCGATTCCTTCTCTCGCTTGTAGAGCCTCACCTTACCCGGGAGGATTCAAGTTGAAGGCTGCAGAAGCTGCCTGCCCACACAGGAGATGGGTAGGAAGCTGTAAACTTGAGGTGAACAACTAGTGGAAGACACAGAACTGAGCTGTACAGAAACAGATGAGGAGAAAACATGTGCTTTTCCCCCCCCGCAAGAACAGTGGTATCCTGAACTTTGAAATTAATTTCTGTAGAATACATTGATGACTAGTACTTGTGTTTGCCATGTGCTGAGGAAAAGAAAGGCATTAACCTCACTAAAAATATCTTGCCTGAAGAGTTACAGGCCAGCTATGAGAAGGTTTGCATTTGGCAAGAAGAAACAACTCAACCTAGGTGGGGAAAAAAAAACCCCAAACATCTGCAAAATATGATGATAAACTACTGAAGTTTCACAGACAGACTCCTGCTTCTCTTGTAAATAACAGTGACCATGTATTTCACGTGGCTTAAAGTCCAGTAATGTTCCATAGTTCACCAGTAAAACAGCTGGGGAAGCAGGCACATGTAGTACAAGGGAACAAAACGGATGTCCAGTTAGATAAGCACCACTGATGATAACCAAATGATACTGCAGGTTACTTTGAAGAATAAGAATTTTTATAAGAAGTTCCCAGCTTGAAGCATCTATTCCTTTTTCTTAATCAGTTACTAAGTAATATTAAACCCTTGCGTACGTTAAGGCAATGGTCATGGCACTGAGACATACAAGTTTTCCCCAGTAATCTAAAAATCTTGATATGAACCTTCCAATAATCTGTAAGACCCTCACATTTTCTCTTTGCATTCCCAATCCATGTCTTTTTTAAAGTTGGGGGAGAAGAAGAAAAAAGGTGAAGACTGAGGTTACATTCAATAAGCAATTAATGCTTATCTTCTACCTTCCAGCTGACGTATTTCTGTACAGTCAGCTGTACCCCTTTTCTAGCTGATTTCAGTGACACAATGCAGAACCCAATCCTGAAAATGTCCACGTGTTTTACTTCTCATGACTAAGCAACCCTACAGACTTGAACAGAACTGGACATGGGTCTACTCAACAGGTAACACTAAATTCAAATACATTTATTCAGGAACAAGATTTACCTTGCCACAAACATGTAAAAATGTGAAATTTAAATATTCAAAAATGCTGTGTGCATCAAAGAAGCCCTTGCAGAAAGTACAAACAGAAAAAAGAATCTGATACTTCAAGTTGGAAGAAATATTTGAATGCTGGACAAGAAGGCACAGTAAAGGGAATAATTCTTATTCACAGACAAAATTAGTCAACAAAAAACCTCTTTTCTAAATTAAGTAGCTTTGTTTTTAGTTTCAAACTATTTATACAAAATACAAGAAAGAGGTTTGAATATGATCAACCTCAGCCTGCATGTCCAAAACAGACCTCAAATAGCACAGATAGTCATTTTATAGTTAAGAGGAAAGGAAGGAAAGTCAACTCATTGGTAGTTTATTTCAAAACCTTTTGAAGATTAATGTCCATAGGTGGTTAAAGTACCCTAAGCTCTAGAGCCAGGAAAGATTCATACACCCCCTTTAAAAAATACAGATAAAGCTGACTGTTTGCTTCATTGGACAGAATGCATCTGTGCTATCACTGAAAAACCAATTAGAAACTAATTAGAAACAAACCCACAGTTTGGTCTGCACACCTCTTTCCAGAAATTCTGGTTAAGATAGTATATTCTAAACTAAATTAATATGCTCCTTTCCTGTCCTAGACTTTGTTTCTTTAATGACCTCTTAGACCTTGACTTATCTTCCACTAATTAGGAGAGCAGTTGCCAGGATTTCACTCTCAGAGTACAGATAATGTTGTTATCTGCATGTGGGACCCAGTTCTGCAGCACACTGGAACTGCTCCTCTGAAGAAGCTCCTTTGACGTAAATTCTATTAATGAGAAGCATTTGCTTCCTTCATGTAAACTGTGTGTTCTCTAAAAACTATCCACGCTTGACAACTGAGTTCCACGCACCTTTGGTCACAGAGAAATGTGCAAGGTCTTGAAGCCTCTTTAATGTTTACTGTACTTTGAAACAGAAAGCTTTTAAAAAGGACCATAAACTGGAGCCTGACGGCAGCGAGCTGTTCAGAGTCGTGCTCGTATAACATTATTCACGCAGGGCATTTCTAACCCTGACCAGTTCATCACACTTTCACTTGAAGCTCCCTCAACTTTTACATCTATTCACATGCACCGATCAATGTTCCTTCAGCCAGTAAAATGTAAAGCAAACAGATATAATACCATTTCTTATGCATGATAATCTCTTTTAATATCTACAAAAGACTTTAAGGAACAAAAACCTAAAGGTAAGCTCTGAAATTCTGACATCCATAGAAAGGCACCTGTCTTTTTTTTTTTTTTTTTTCCCTCCTTTTTTACATTTGGCCTTTGTGCTTTCACATCACAGGTTAAAAATATGTGAATACAGGTGAAACATTATTGAAATAATAATGAAGTAAGACTTTAAATGCTAAGTCATACTTCAAAACCAATACTATTAAAAGTACTTTGCTTTGATTGTGTATTATGTGACAGTGAAACAAATTCAAGTTTACTTAATGACAAATTTTACTGCACTTCTAAATGAGTAGCTATCTTCAAAAATACACTTCTCATGGTTTTATATCAGACACAGTTTATAATTAAAAGATTAGAACAATTTCTGGGGGTCGAAAAGACATTACAAAACAAAGCACTTAAAATTACTGAACAAAATATTACAGCCAAGTATTTCAGATATTTGAAATCGCCTTTCTTGGGTCATGATTCAAAGACTGTGATTCTACCAAGAAGGTCAAAAAAAGGCCAACAACCCTCAAATATGTATTTGTTTTAAACCAAGGCTGCAACTACAAAAATGGGTAAGACTTCAGTAGAAAAAACATCTTGAAACAAATACATTATGAAGTGAGGTATGGTAGTGTTGAAGTGCTACAGTGGATTTCTGCATATTCAAACTTATTTCAGGTCAACTATGAAGTCTGAGTTCAGCACGTTGGGCTCTATGTCTGTAGTTAGCTAACTTTCAGCTCTATGTCCAATGGCCACAGAGAAGATACATTCAATTAAGCAAAAACTAACATGATCAGATATGAATGAGCATATCTGGCAATTTAGAAGGCAAACTGTAAGTAAAAATGCAAGCATACAACTTATAATAAATACATTTTCAAGCATTTAACATTATCAATATTTTAAAAAGAATTTAAATAATAAATGCAACTATTTTATACAGAACTGTACCATTTATTATACACACAAGTATATCAGTTCCCTTTGTTTACAAAGGCTGGTTACAGATATATGGAATGTTACAGTACCATCTTGCATAAAATTTTAGTACAATTCGTACTTCAAAAAAAGGGTGCAAAACACCAGCCTAATAAATCTGACTGAATTGAAATATTTTTAATTACATCATTAACACATACACAACAAGCTGTACATAAGCCCACTTTTCAATCACCACTTCAAGATACTGTAGCAAGTACATTAGATTATAAATGATTCCAACTATTCAGTTAAATTTATTAAAGGTTTGCACTGCTACTCGCTCTGGAACCTTTGAGATATAGCCTGTACTCATGAATTACTGAGCTCTCGTTAGTGCAGTTAAAAGGCAGTCAGCACTGGTTGCCAAAGAACTAGTCACAAGAGATTTCCTCAGAGAAACTTCACCCGGGAACAAACATTTTTGGATACTTTTTTTTTTCCTTCAAGAATTAAAAAAAAAAAGTTTTATGTGGTCAAGACTCTCCATTCTGTACCTTGGATGCTGGTGGATGCATGAAGTCCTTAAAGGGAACCAGTGCCTCTTTCAGAGCAGAGCACACTTCTGAGGACGAGCAGGTGATACATTCTACTAAAGTCGGGTACAAGGCAATAACCTGTGCCCATGTGTTAGCATCAACTGCAATGAAGAACAGAACAGACTGAATTACTTACTGCTGCCCGAACTCTCACAACAGATTTTTTCAATACCTGTATAAATAAGGGCACGTTCCGGTGCCTGAACACTGGCACCCAGTGCTATAGAGACACTACGGCATCTGGACGGGGCTCTCGGATACAATGGAGGATTTTTGCAGGAGAGCCATACTGCAGCGGCGGCAGCTGGAAGCCAGATGGGATATCCATAAAACGGCACTACACACCTGGGTTTCTACACAGGAGTCATTCACTGTGTTTTCTGGATGAAGAACTGACAAACTGAAGATAATACTTTTATTAAATCCGTAATACGCACACATTTTCTGCCTGTTTTTCTCAGCTAGTGACAGAAAGTTGAATTGGATGCACATTTCACTTTTGGAAACTTGTCACCAATGAGGCCTTCTATCAATTTCAAATCATCCCAGATTACGAGAGCAATAGAAAGCAGAGGGAGAAACACTGGGCCAAGACACAAAAATATCCATGGTAAAGTTTGTTAGTCCAACAAGTGAAATTAAACATTGTGGCATCAATCTTATTTATTACATCACTTCCTTGCTTATCTCCGGTTTAGCTCTGTTTTCAAAAGAGAACAAAACCCTGATTTCAGACAACGTTAGAAATTTTCTTAAAGAAATAAAATGATCAAAAGCTAGAAGTGGGAGTAAACTGATGCTCTAATTTGTCCAGTGGTTTTCTTTGCAAGAAAGCACACAGGAGGTTTGGCAATCGCTGCCATGTATGGACCAGGTGAAGAGTTTCTCCCATTGCAGGAAGAGGGGCATGGGGAATAGTCCAGCTGAGTTGGCTGCTCCACCCCTCTAAGAGAAAGGAGAAAGGCCCACCCAAGCAGCACTTCGGTTGCCTTCAGGGCTCGCCACAAGGCTTTACGTGTCCTGGCATAGTTCTGCCCTCGGGCTTTTGCCATCAGCCTTGGAAACCCCATCACCATGACTCTGGCTGCTCAGTGACGCTGCAAGAAGAGGCACTGCCCCCTTCAGGAAACCCGCCTGCCTGTGTTCTGGATAGGAGCTGGCTGGTTGGTTGGTTTGTTTCAGAACTGAAAGTTTTTTTCTGTTCCTCATAATCCCACAGGCAGGGAGGCAGAGGGAAGTGCTATATGCGCAATTCTGTCCGAGTTGCAGAGCTCAACAGAGCTGGTTTAACTAAGACCCCTGGCTGAGTTTTCTGGTGGGAACTCTCTATGCATACAGTAGGTGCAGCTTACAGGAGGAACAGGATGCAGGGATATAAATGTAGCTGAGGTCTTCCATTTAATTCAGCCCTTTAAATACATCTGCCAACCATTTACCTGGGCATCAACGAGCTAAGACATCTTTCTCAATATGGGGGACAGGAGGTACTAGAGCAGAAAGGGAGGGAAAGCAAGACCGCAGGTTTCAGTACCTAACAGCCTGCCCACGCGTTTCACTTGTGCACCCCTTTAATTGCAGAGTGCACCTACGTGAACGTGGTCCACACCAACCTACAGAAGTATCATCAGAAGAAAAAGGACCTAGCAAGACTACATGTATTTAAGAATTCTATTAACATTTTATGGAAGGGTTTTTGTTTTGTTTTTAGAAGATACCAAGCTCTATGTAATAAAAGACACCATAAATTGAGGTTTTCTATTTTATTAAACATATCTTAGGACCTCATACTTTTAGGTATACTGGAAATAATTTGTGGGGGGTTTTTTGGGTCTACCTGCCACTTACATATACACAGAATTACAAAATACTGAATCTTACAGATTACACTTTTCTTTCAAATTTGTGTGAAAATTACTATGGGAAAGAATAAATACGTCTTTGTGGCAGATATAATGTTATCTTGTTTAGAGCCACGTTGTTTAACAATAACTTACCGTTTTCAGGTTGCGTTTTTTTAAGTGAATCTATGAGAGTACTGACAGCTTTTAAAACAAATATGATTTCTGTTACTTGTTGCCTACAAAGGGAAAAATGCAAACAGTCAACTACTCATTTTTGTCTCAAGAATGTAAGTTTTCTATGAAACTCATAAAACATTAAAAAAAACCCAAACACATAATGGAAACGGCTGCAATGAAGCCTACCAAGAAAAAGGTTATTTAGAGATTAAGGTTATCATTTGTCTTTAACTTTCCCACCATCATTGCTGTTGTCTCGGCTAGGATAGCTGTAAATTTGATACTGGGAACAGTAATGGCATACACATCTCAATCTGAAAACAGGTACATGATTAACTAACATGAAAGTAATTGATTTCATCATTCATGATCAAAACCTTCAAAAGTTAAGTGAAATTTACGTAAGTTCCCATTTTAAAGAATTTCCTGGTATTTCGGTCAATTTTTCTGTTTCAAGAACAATTACTTGAGTAATGATTCACAATGTTGCTGTTTGGATACTTTATCTTAGTTTTGAGGAGACTCCACCTCTCAATTTAGAAAGTATACATAGCTCTGTTGGGAATAAAGGGAAATCAGATTTCAGAAATATTACGCTACAGGTATCAGAAACATTGCTTCAGTCACTGAACGTGTTAGTTACTAAGCCACATTCCTATTGTCTATGTAACAGCACTGCATATGACCATTATTATTTAAGGCTTTTTCAACAAAAAATCGGTATCAACATTTTCTTTGAAACGTCTTCCCTACAAACACTTCCCTGCCTTTAAATTTCACCCCCCTACACATTAGTTCTTTAGTGACCGATATTTTGAATGCAGCCTTCTTACAAAGTCCAGGTAATACCTTTCGTTTCCTACAGACAGCGTACATACCGTGGAAGAGGACATTTGCCACTCAATCTCTCATCTTCTATGTAGCGATGCAACACATCCTGTGACCTTTTCAAGAGCACAGAAAGTGCCATTCTAGAGATGTAGCCTTCCTGAGGAGTTGTGACTTTATTACTGAAGGAAAACTGGAGCAGTGTTTCAAAACACACCTTAGAAAACTCCTCTCTCATTCGAATATCTATTTCGGCTTCTGTCAAAGTAAAATGCCGTATTTAATTGCGCAGCATGCACGCCAACACACCAAATGCTGCATTTCAATCAGTTTATTGTATTTTGCAAAAAGGTTACCGCTCCTCTAGTATTAAAATGCTTAACGGTGATATGAACAAATATTAAGAATACAATCTAAGAAAAGGTGACTGTGCAACAATCACAATAGTTCCAAAAATAAAAGATAAAATATGCAACACATTCAGTAACGTTGCCACCTACTTGACACTTCTTTAATAATAACAACTATATTAAATCAATTTTTAAAAACCCAGCAACCCCAGTTCTACATCATAACTACTATTATTTGTACTGTACAATCAAAATATTTTTCTCTGTAATGGCTTATGTCCATTTTTTTCATCTTTCCCCAAAAAACCTGTAACTGTTGTTTCTTAAAGGCAGAGAAAGTGCCTGGTTAGGAACACCATATAGTCATGCTAAGGTCATTTAGTTTTTAAGAACAAGACATCGTGTCTCTCTCACAATTGTCTGAAATTATCGGTAGAACTATTTCAGCTGGCACAATGCGAAACAAACTATGTAGAAAGTATAAAGTAACACAAGCACAATATTGGACATGATACTGACTGAGAAGTAAGGAAATAATTTTTTAAAAATTGCAAGGAATGCCTGGCAACTTCCATGAAATAAAATACATTTTTCAAACCCCAGCTGGATATCAAACAGTCTATACTGAACACAGGCCGTGGAACTTCAAGTCTCTACCAGGAAAAGTACTTTCAACATTTTCATTATGTTCTAGTAGATGTAAACACCACTATTCAGGTACCGTACCTGTAAAAGAGGATGACTGAGAATGTATCGAGCCTTTATTGAGCATAGTCATTATTTGACCAACAAATTCCTTAGGAATAAAATTAGCATATGGCAGTATCTCTGTGCTGATAAGCTGCACCACCTGAAATAAATTAAATATATTTATATTGGTTTTCTGAATATTGAAGTTGTAATTCTACTATGAAGATTACAGAAACATTAAACAAAAGAGATATGCCGAAAGATCACAAAATCATCCAATGCTAGCTTTTAAAATTTGCAGATATGTCCAAAAATTGTGGTCTTGCACGTAACATTAAACTTGAAAGAACAAACTTCCCCCCACGCTTTTGTCAGAGTTTCTGAAGCAGTTATCATCCAGATTTCCACTGATACTTGAATTATATTCTTCAAATCGAATTTACGCATTTGAAGAGAGAAGATCTAACATTAGGAATCTCCCTCTCCCTGCGCCCAATTCAGTATCCTCACATGCTCGCTCACCATGTGACATCTGCAAAGCAGAACGAGTTAATTATCTAAACGAGCTTAAGGCAGGGCACGTTAACTGAAATGCTTTCTATCCTTGGTCTCGATGCTCCCATTCAGGCACAAAGTGGGTCTAGATCTCCATAAATTAAGGCATTAGATCTCAGAGTTCTGCTCACTGCAGGCAGAACCGCTCCTGCTTTTCATCCAGAAATCTTTGTGTCCCAGCTGCCGCTCTGGAGAGCGGGCAACAACGCCATTGCTGACTGAAAGCCCCCCCTCCAACACTGAAAGCACTCACTTCAGGTTTAATTGTCAGCTTCCTCTGTGGTTTACAGTTACCTGTGTAATTGCTTGGCAATGACATAATAAGTAAGAATCAGATAACGGGTTAGAGAGAGAAACACATTCCAGTTTAGCCACTCTATGCTGTTTTGGAACTTGAGTGGGTAAGAAGTAGCTTTTGGCATGCTGCTTCCTACTTTTGGCGTAACTCTGAAGCAACCGAATTCTGAGCCTACGAATTTCCTGTCTTGTTCTCAAAAAGGAAAACAGTATCACAGAAAAAAAAGAATGAATGGGTGACTTTTCAAAAAAATTATTTCAGAACCAAATGCAATCTGTGGATGTTCGACAGTATATTTGTTAACAGCCTCCTTACCTCAACATCAATACTCTCATTCTTCTGAAATTCTTGAATTGAGAGGTTATCAGGAGGTGTACTGAAAATAAACATACTACATTATACTTTTAAATTCACAACATTTGTGAGGAGGAAAGTATGGGAAAATGCATTACATTTGAAGTTATTATTACATGCATCAAGTTGGTACTATTGTATGGTAATGATTAACATTTTAGAAAAAACCTATGAATAACGATGATAAAAGTGATTCAAAGGAAAAAAGTAGCAAAATACTAAAATTGAAGAATTACAACTGATGGACCTGATTAAGAACTTGCATCACCAACACCATTTTTCATACGCATCTCAAAGTGATCTCTTCTGTCTTGCATGTGCGAAAGTCACATATCTGTTTAGATGACTCAGTGAAGGCTATCACATCAGCAAATCACAGTTTATCATGTTTTACATTTTCTCTCACTATGCAAGGATAAGAGACTTTATTTTCAGCAGTACATCTGTAAAAACCTTAATTTTAATTTTACATTTTCTTCTGCATTAGTGAAACACACTTTTCATTAATGGGATATTACTTTGCCTTTTTCCTTGATAACTGAAATGATATATTTGTTCTCATTCTTAATGAACTTTATGAAGACAAACCTATTTTACAAACAATAATTTTGAAGAAGTTCTGAACTTTCTCCAGTTCTTCCATTGTATATAAAAATTCATTTACAGATGAAATGTCCAGAGGTGATTTAGCCACAAAAATTACCCAATACTTTACAAGATGCCACCTTACCTGATTGTAAATTTGGAAATCTTGTATCATTTGATTGGAAATTTTATGCCAGCCATCAGTCATGCAGTTTTCTCTGGTGAACTTTTATCTCATTTACTGAGTCCTTCCTTGTACTTACTGGACTACCTGTTCAGTGAGTTCACATTCCTTTCCTTTGCTGGTTTATGCTTCTGCTGAGTTACTGGGACCACGTTGCTCAGCAGGACAGAAAGAGTAAAGGTCTCCTGCTTAAACAGCAAGCAACTACTTCAGCTGATGTTTTCGTGTTTTAGTTTGGATCAGACACGGGCTTTTCAAGTTAAACTTTTAGACATCCCTATAAACGTTGGTTCACGTCTGGTCTCAGAGTGCACAGAACTGGATTAATTTTTGGTGAAATGAAACCAAAAAATGTACTCCAAGCTCTCGTAGATGCTTGCGTGACAGAAAGCCAGAGTAGAGCTACTCTGAAATAAAACATCTAAAGTGAGCGCTCTGCAGGTGACGGGTCCTCATCATGAACTGTCTTGCTTTACAGATCTGCTTCTACTCCATTTTGGGGAAAACCAAACCAAAATCAAAGAAGGTACTCCACACAACAGATAAACTCTGAAATACCTTGCTTATAATCCCATAATCATAGAATTGCCTGCTAAAATCTACACAGGTTCCACACACAGTTAACAAAATCGTTTATGAGCCAATGGCAACCTGTGGTACAAGAACTTTCTGAGCTACGTAAATTGGGGGGCTGAAGGAGCTTATCATGAGAATATCACTACGTGGTCGCCTTGCACTCTTCCTTCAGTATCCCACTAACCAAACAGGAACAGCAGACAGGTCTAGGCATGTGACTGTTCTGACCTAGTTACGCTGTTCTTGTTTTTCTGACATAGAGCAGAAGTCGGAACCCTCATGGCTATGTCTCTCTGAAATTTAAAGACAGTTGTAAAACCCACTGGATTACGGGTTCTGTTTCTTCGCCGTGTCCGATTTGTACTTAAGGTAACACGTTACTAGAGCTAATGGAAAAACTAGTAGCATTAATTTAACAAAAATCAGAGATAAGGCACGAGAAAAGGTCAATATAATTTGATACATTAAATTCTCTCCTTTTCCCATAATTTTACATTTGTCTCTTTAAAATAACTATGTAACATCTTCAAGCTGAGGAACAGTTTGGAAATTTGATCACTTGAAAGGAACGGTTAGAAATATCGGAATTAAGATTGCCTGTGGTACTTCAACTCGCTGCTATTGTGCATGCTTGTGTGTTACGATGCTTCTTAAATTAGATGATGCTTTTTTTTTTTTGTCTCCAGAGAAACCATCTGATTAAGTACACAGGATGGTCACTACTGAGAAGGAAGGAAAATGATAGGGTCAATCTGCCACAACATTCCCGCCTAATTTATGACAGAATAGGCAGATGCAAGAAAAACAGAGCTCTGGATTGAACAAAGAACCAAGCTGTTCTGTAAGCAGAGGAATCAGTGCAGCACTGTAGTGATGAGCAGACTGGCATCCTTTGGCTTATGTCCAAACTCCCGCCCCAGCCCCCGGCTTTTCCTCTACCCCACATCCCTCCCCAGGAAACAACAGACATGCGGTGGGTAGTTCAGAGCTAAGCACGTGCTCACTGGCGAGGCAGCTGCCAAACATGCGACTGTGGACCTGTGCCAGGCACTCATCTGGGCCCGACTTCTCTAACCTGCTGCCCATTTTGATGAAAGTTTGGAGAACTTTGGAGGCTTCTAAATCTCATTCAAATCTGGTTAGTTTAGCTAGCAGGTCTGTGGGTTTCTTCCCAGTGCTCCTACATGATACTGACCACGTCAAACAAGATTTTTCTAAGATAAGCCTCCATCCCCATCCTGTCCCCGTCCCCCCCCCCATCTTCTGGGTGCTTAGCATGAGACACCTGAAGTTCAGCCTGCACACCTACAGCTAATTTTCAGTTTTGACAACTATGACAGTATGCACCAATGTTCCTGCCTGAAAGAAAAAATATATCCCCCTTCCTCAAAGGGACTTTATGTAGATAACTTCACCACTGTCTGTGAAACACTCGAGTGGTACATGTATGACTAGAAAAAACCCAAAGAAGAAAATATGGAATACAGTATTTATTATTGGTTTGTGTGTTAGGCAGCCAGGAAGCTTGGAGTTACATGTTGAAAACAAAGAATAAAATAAAATATTAAGTAGCTGTTCAGTCAGTGCCTTTTGGCAGACATAAAGAAGTTAACTATGCAAACCCTTTAGATAGTACTGTAAACTATTACGATGCATACCAACACAGGTCAGGTTGAAATACAGGGGAAGATTTCATTCTGACGCTTCCTAATTTATGACTGACTGACCTTCCAAGCTGAGGTTTACTCCAAAGAGGTGTTAAGACCTTTCTGTCCAGTCATCCATATCTGATCTGCCATGTATGCTACAGACTATGAGACATACTCGCTCATGTAGCAAATTACTCCGAAGTAAAGAGATATTTGTAAGGTGTCTATATGAAACATCTATCTAGGGGCCAAAAGCTTTGCTGGTCTGATGCCATACAGCCAAACTGTACCCAAAGGGTCAAGAGCTGGGGAAGGTAAGAGGCAGTGTGATGCAGACTGTTGCTATGTGCAGCCTTTCCTAGGTACAGAGCTCCCAGCCGATGCCCGCTGCCTAGGGAGGGCTTTAGAGCCTAACAACAAAGAGCTAACAGCCACCCAGAGTCCTGCTGTGCGCAGCAGCGCTCTGCTCTGAAGCATCTTTTTGGAGAGTATTGATTTAATTCCCTCATGCGAGCACAGACTTCTGCTCTAGTAAATTATATATACACACACGTTTGTTGAATTTTATTTTATATAATGGCTTGACATGCTTCCATGAAAGCCTCTGGGAAAGAAAAATGATATGAAATAATAAACAGACCAGTCTCTTACTAGAAGACAATTTTGTGTAAATTAAGTTACATGAAATTTATTAATTTTTAAATGTCATTTTGATTTATAATAAAAATCAAGAATATTGAGCCTCCTCAGCTGCAGCTTGCTTTAAAAAAAAAAAAAAAAAAAAAAAGAGAAAGGAAACTTATTGCTTGGAAGTTGTTAATTTTCTGTGACAGTAACATTTTCCTTTTTCATTTACCCGGGCTGTTTTGCCTGTATTTGAAATTTCTTGATGTACAAAGCTGCAGAGACCATTTCTGCTGTGCCTTGTACTTTTTAAACATCAATAAGCATCTCCTCTTGTTCAGCCCCATAGCAGGCTTGAAATCCTGTTCCTGTCCAAAAGAGGCAAGACCATGCACGGGAGGTTCACTGGTTTATACACAGAGATTCAGAGGTTTAATTTAACGCTTCTAACCACAGTGGCACTCTAACCAGTGCCAACTCAGTTTCACTACTGAAAGCAATACTAGGCTGTCTACACACGCAATTTCTAGGACCACAGTGATCAGAAGAACTATGAGTTACACTAGAAAAATGTTTAACATGTTGATTAGGAATGTAGAACACCAGCAAAACAGAAAGAGTTTTATCTTTCTATTCTATCCTCAGCCAGATAGAGACTTGGAGAACGTGCATACAAAAATGAGACAATATGCACTGGGATATTTTAATGAACAAAGCTAAAGGGAAAAACTAGCCCAATCTGTTATGCAGTGTTGCTAGGAGGACTGACTGCAATAAGACATTAGCGAGTTTTACAGAGATGCAGATGTTTCATTTTTAAAACCATCCCAGCAGTGCTAAGTCAGCTTTGAAGAATAAAGGTTTGACGAGGAGATTCCTTTGACAAAAGGAAGATATTTACCTAGCTTTGCATGAAGCCTGGACAAATAATAGCACGGAACACGTAGTTTGAATAGCGGAAAGTGTGGAGTACGAAAAGGTATACAGGAAAGGAGGAAGAAAAACAAGTTTCTTTGTGACAAATCATCGCAGTTCCCTTGAAGCAGAGAGCTTCGGAAACATCACAGAATGCCAACATAAGAAAGTCAATTTTCAGTTCTAACTGTATTCAGGTCTGAGTACATGTAACTGTATTTCTGTCACAAGGAGTGACATGTTGGATAATGTAAAACTCCAGATAATGCAGTAATGCTGTTACTCTGTCTCACCAACAGCCTCTTGGGGTGTTCTCTGAATTGCATTTCCCAAATTCTTTGCGCTCCAGAACCTTTTCAATCCATGCTGGGCTTCAGCAGTGCAGCCAGATTTGTACTCTTCTGCAACTGACTTAATAAAGCCCCTGTCCTGCACGGCATATTTGCAAGTTGGAAAGCCACCAGGGATGAGCGGCTCACAATCGCAGTAAACCAGAGTCATGGTCAGCAGGGTCACTAAAGCCAAGTCAAGTTTACAAGTCACTAATCTCCCTGTGCTCTCATCTCCTCATCTGTGGCTTGGTTAATTGATTTTGGCAATACAGAGAAAAATCCAAGTATTACAAACTTTTTAAAGCTTTAAAAAAACACAACTCACTGTTAACATAAATAAATCAGGGAACACACGAAAAAACATTTTTATACCACCTAGATGGCCTAAAATAAAGGACCAACGTGGACAGTTGGAAAGTACATTCCCATTGCCTTCTCCTATAATCTGAAGGTTGACATGAACCTCAACTCAGTGAAAAATTTTAGCTGTTACTTTCAAAACAGTGAACAGATTCTCCCAAATTACTGTGGAATAAGACACCACTGCGATTAACATATATTTTCTATTAGAACTATAACAAAGAGATAAAATTGAAAGAAGACAGTAAATTTGAAAATTCTGAATTCAATTTACTTAAAATGGAACAACTACAAATGTAAAAGACTGACTATACTGCAATTACAATCCACTAAAAGACGCAGTTTAGAAAATTTTAATACACAAGAGACACGTTGCCCTATTTCCCAAAGCTAGTTTCACAGCATCTGGCACAGAAGTGCAGAAGGACTTAACCAAAGGAAATCAGAAGAGAATTACCTCAACATGGGGGACTTCCACAGCTATCTCTAGAGCCCTCCTTGCATCACAGTGAGAGAGGCACGCTTCAGGAGCATTGTGGGGAGGAGGAGGAAGAGGATGAAGAAAAGGAGAGATGACTGCTATTACTAATTGTCCTGGCTAGTGGCGTGAGGCAGATGTACTCCTTTCTCAGCTATGGCTTTTTTTAGGACGACAAGGCTCAGGCTGACAGAGGGAACAGAAAGGCTATCTGTTCTAAAACTACTAAGGGACAGGGCTCTAACGGTGAGTAGGAGAACCACGCACGTGGGAAGACAAACTGCTATTTAGAAAAAGATGAACATTGAGGGGAGGGGGGAAAACCCCCAACCCCAAACCAGACATTCAATAGCCATACAACGTACAACTATGTAAGCAAAAATCATCTACTCAGATAGGAAAGAGTAACGACAATCGTCATTAATTATAATGACAGGGCAAATTATCCTGCTGTAGCCATATGGTTCTATAAACCACCAGCCTATTTTTAATATTTTAAATTCTTTCGAACCTTAAAGCTTCTAAATGAGAGAACAGAAATGTTTCATATAACTTTTCTGAGAAGTTCTTTAATTCTGATGAAAATGCTGATCCCCAGAACACATTTTGTATGTAAAATTATAGAATACACTCTGGCCTCTGAAGAGGCAAAACCAGAGCTAAGCAAAGAGAGACAAGTTTTAGGCCATCATAAATATTCACAGAAATACTATTTTTCCTTTACCTCCAGAGAATATTTGCCCATGTATGACAGCTGGCAGAAGCTATTAGAATTAACGCCAACGGTGATTGTTTCTAGCAAGCAACGCATTAAGATGGAATTTCTATGGTTGGAACAACTTTCAGGAAACGTATAAATCACTCGCTGTAAATTAAGAAAAACAGACAACATATTTGGCCGAAAAGGTCATGCAGATGATAGCGGATTATCTTGAATTACATTGAAGATCTGTGATAATCTTACTTCCCTGGATTTACGAATGATTAATATCCAAAAACTGTAGCAGTGCCAGTCTGGGCCAGCTAAAAACATGCAAAATGGTTACATTTCATCTGTTTTAGCAGATACTTAGGAATAATTAATTTAGAGCAAATAGTAGTACACATGCCCAAAGTAACTTCTAAGTGAACACACGGTTCTTCTACAATGACCTGAAAAGCCTTCATTTTAATTTTGTAAACCCAACAATGATATTGATTATAGGGTATTAACTGATCTGGAGTGCCTGCCTCAGAATGGAAGCAGGACTACTAACCACAGCTGAGAACAAAACCAAACAAGATACTGCAACAATTGTTTTCAATTAGAGTGAAGCATCAAAACAAAAACTGGGATGATTAAAGTCTCTTTTATGTAGTCTTGGTGAACTTTTTTATCTTAAGGTCCTCCTATTAAACATTATTCTTTGAAGTAAATGCAAAAACAAAAGAAAAGTTTTTCATTCAATTGTCATGCAACCCTATTGATGAAATTCCAAAGCCATTCGTTATTACAAACATTTTCACCAACTGATGTGTCTCCAAAATTAAGTTTCATTGGTATTTATTTTTTGTCTGTTTTGGACAAGCTGCTATTTATTCATCATTAGTAAATACAGCTGTGTTTGGTTACCGATTTTTGTGTGTTTGAAAACTATACACACACAAATACACAGCATATTAGTGTTAGGTACAGAAGAACCGTACTGTTTTCTACTAAAAAGAAAGACTATTTTGTTACTGAAATCAGCATACGCAGAGCATCAGGGAATTCAGTTTTTCATATTCCACATTGTCCTTTAATCTGAGGCACTATTAGATATACTTGAACTACTCCTAAAAGATGCTTACCCCCCGATGTTCACAGGTGATGGAAATGCCATACCGCTCCTAAGCAGTGTTCTGCAACACCTAACCTTCCTTACAGTAAAAGGTTTCCTCAATGTCTAATCTTTGCTGTACTGAAATTCATTTTTACCTATTCTCAAGGGACCACAAAAATTCTTCTCTGGAGCAATTTTCTACCATATTCTGAAGACTTATCATGTCTTCCTAATGATACATTCTTTTGGTTGAACAAAGTAATAGATCAGATTGTCTAAGTCTCTGTTTGTTCTTATTTTTCACTTCTGGACTTTCTCAACCTGCCCACATCTACATTGTTCCATTCTTGAGAGATTACACATGGACTTACACGTCTGCCTCTCTGGCTAATTATAGATCTGACCATTTAGCTACACTTTTCACAAAGCACTACAAATAAAGCATGGTTAATTATTAAGGTGCAGTCACTTTACCTTGGGTAGAAACAAACACAAGGTAACTACGGGCTGCTAAATGAACAGCGATGTAAGAAATAATTTTCCAAAATTCATAGTAAGTGGAGTATTTCAAGATGGAACTCAAGAGAAAGTCATATAGTTAATGGTGTTCATTAACTAAAAAAATTATTGTTGCAATTTGTTCAAAGTGAAAAAAGGTACAAATTGAGCACACATCAGTAACTCTATCAAATCTATAGTGAATGTCCTTGGGAGTCCATACAGAATTCCTTGGGCTGGTCAGAAACACTATGCCTTGTATTCAGAGGTCAGTTGAGCTCTTTCTTGCTCTGACATTTCACATTTTGAACGAAGTTTTTTCTACTACTTTCTGAAAGTATACTTTTTTGAAGTAGACAGACTGGTTACCTTTTTCCCTTCATTCACCAAAATAATTTTCAGATATCAAATATCTCTAAAGAGAAGGCTATTTTTGCTGAACTCTATTGACATATTTACTGTACAAATTACTTTAAATATTTTCCAGTTAAAAAAAAAAAAAAAAGAAATTTTGTTTACCTTTTGGTGAATAAAAAGTCTTCAAAAGTATTCGCTAGCTCTGGCCACATACTGTCAAATTTTCCTAAAGATGCATGCTGCCTTGCAACAGGTAGTCCAATAGAGAGAACTTTGAGAAGAGAGGAAACAGCTAGCTTCCATGTGCTTTCAGAAGGACAGGAATATTTCAGACTAAGAGGTATTCTTAGTGTCTGCAAAATTAAAAGTTAAAACAAAATTTATAGTTGCTCAGACAAATCTAAGAATACGACAGGTTTCTGCAGAAGATCTTGGCAGACACTACCACAGACGATAGTACACATCCCTACCTTCCCTGCTGGTATACAAAATTATCTTTTAAAAAATCTAATTCTAAAGCTGATTTACCATATACCAGCTGGCTAAAGCACAGGTCTGTTGCCAAGTACAATGTTATAAGTCAGAGCTGATCCATTACTAATTACTCTCTGAAATTACATACTAATTTTCTTTTTCTGTATTGCCACCCACCATTTCTGCTAAGCCGGACAAATGGACTTTCCTAACATCGAACAGATTGCGGGCAATTCGCTATCGTGAGTGTATTCCGGAGAGTTTAGTACTGTTCCTAAAAAAGATACCTCAAGTGCTTCCTCAGTAAAGAAAAAACACTCAAATTTAAACTTTTCCTAATATGCAAAAGTTGAACTGTATGCATAACCACTGCAAGACACTTGGTCATTGTTGATTGCTAAACCACAAGAAGTTTAAATGAGCTTAGTTAAAATAGTTAGTAAAATTCTAAGATAAAGGCTGTAATGCAACTCAAACATATAGCAGATGAAACACCGCAAATTTTAAGTCTTTCAGATAGACAGCTTCAGTATCTATAAAAGAAAGTCATTAATGAGTTTAAAACCATTAAGCATACTTAATATTACACTACATTAAGACTACACTACATTAAGACATACTTAATGTTTACACTATATGTATACCTTTTAGCATTGTTAGTCAAACTAACTAGAACCAGATACCAAGTTATCTTGGAAAACCAATGATTTATCAATGGTTTAATTTACATTTCAAATGCATAGTGACTAAATTCAGGTGTTACACATATACCCCCAATGCTTTTAGTTAAGTCTCTGATTTGGGGAAAGCAAAGGGTGGAAAGAGGAAAGACTCACTCTTAGGATTGAGTCAGTTGTAATAAACTCTATTGCCAAAAACTGAGAGCTAGGATCTAACCCTAGAGATAAACAGTATTTTCTTCTACTGCTATTGTTCATATGGGTCAAATCTAATTCCAGTATCAACATGGGCTTTAGAGATGTGAAAAATAATTTTAAAACCATTTTCATCTACTGCAATAGCTCACATTATTATCAACTATGAACGTTAAAGGAAATTGGTGTTTAAATCAGTTTCACCTATCCCATTAAACCAGAAATGGAATACAACTGCATTAACTTTGAAATACAAATATTTAATTCATGACAGATTCCAAATAATACCACGTAACTATTTTAAACACATTCAGGTTTCTAAATTTCTATACAGGAACAACCTGATGTCAGCCCAGTCATTACAAACAAACCTAGGTTGCATATTTTTTTTTTTCCCAGACATTTACTACTACTTCTACTATTTACCAAAATTATTTGCTAAAATGGAAACAAGGTCAAAAGAAGTTCGGAGTCTGGCACTTTCACCTTCAAGGCACATCTGTGCACCTGTAACATTTCTTAGCTACATCAATGACACACAAAGTCATTAAAAGCAATCAAAAGTAATAGGTAGAGCACACATCCCCAGAGTACATACATGCCAGTCTAGAGAAACTGGTCTTTGACCTTCAATGCTGTATTTACTAAGAGGTCTCCTTATCAGATTCAGGTGCTTAATACTTTCAAAGATTAATATTTTGTGGCCTAACACATTTGTTAATTTTTATCTTAATACTGAGATACTGATACTGACATTATCCAGCTGAAGAATGATACATATAACCTCTCAACAGCCTTGTAGCTTCTAAAGAAATTACTACCTGCTGCTCATCTTCATAACTGCTGCTCATCTTCATAACATATCAATTTGTTTACTAAAGTTTTAAGATTCCCAGAAAGTATTTATCAATACTAGCTCAAAATAAAACTCATGATTTTCAATACTTATTAAAGCTTATTAAATTCGGAACATATGCAGGACAAACTTTTACCTTAATAATGTTCTGAAGAACTTTCTCTGTTACCACAGCTTTATGGCAAGCTGTCTTTTGGTATAAGTCCACAACAACTTCCAATGATCTCTCAGCAAATGGTACATAATTCAATGCTACCCATTCCGCCTGGGAAAAGAAATCAGTAAATTACTGAACTATATGGGAAAACCTATTAATTAAGGAACAGGAAATTTATGTTTTGCATTGAACTCTCAGTTTTAACACATGCAAGGTTTGCTAAGAATATGGTCCAAGCAACAAAACTGCAAATACAACATAGTCTGTCTATGAAAATGTACTCCACATTGAAGTAAAGTACATTTAAGTAGGAGAAATGTTGCAGTCTAGGCAAGACAACTACATTAGGACAATCTTTAAGGAAATTTAACTCACCGGTGCAAATAGTTGTATCTAGTGTGATTCCATTGTGTTGCAGGACAAACAGAATAAGAAGAATTAATACATACATAATAGTTACCTCTTCGATAACACTGAATCAGATGTTCATGCTTAGTGAACAGCAGAGTACACAGATAAAAAGAATTACTGAACACGTCCCATCTCTCTACAGCATGTGCAATTCAAAAATTTGCAGCTTGAAGGAATTTTCTCCATTCAAAATGTCTTTCTATTAAATTTGGTATCACATGTAGGACAAATTATTTCAGATTAATTCACTAGACAAATTCAGACACATTCACTATGTCTGGTGTCCAGGCAAGACCCTTCCTACACGGAGGAATACAAAGTATAATAGCAAAGTAGAATTCAAAGGGAGGAAATGAAGATAACAGAAGCACACAAAAAAATATTAATAAATTAACCTATTACACAACATGTACAGCAAAGCTTTTACAGATGGAATAAATGCATCTTGCTAAACAACCTATATCTGAAGCTGAATTGGGTTCATCAGCCAAGTGAAACAAGTGAGATTTCTAATCAATTACCTGATTATACTTTGCATTTGCAATGTGCTTTGTTTCCAGCTGTCCATATTGTGGAGGCTTGCAGGAAAATTCTACAAAGGCCAACAACTGGTCAAAGATTGCAGGATACATTATCTGCATACTTTCTGAGCCCACACATATAGCCTATACCAAAGGAAAATACAAAAGCTTAATATATATCTTCAGCTTTCACATTCAAAAATGTGCATCAGTACAAGGAGCTCATAACGAAAAATTCCCATCTAAGACTATGCAAGAGTCATGCTGTAGAAAAGACAGCGTATAGTTCTAACAGTTTAAGGAAAGTAAAGTTTTGTTATTTTATTAAAGTAAATTAAGTGGTAAGATACCTGGGCATACATAGTTTAGTAAATACAGCTATCTCACTTCATCCTATAAAAGATACCTTTTCTTTACAAACTCTGCCTTGACATGACAGCAAAATATAAGTCTTACGTAAGTCTTGTCTGTTGATCTCAGCCACAACTTCAAGTTCTACTTCAAGAAGCACTTAAATCTCAGAAGTAACTCATACAAGGTTTTCATAAGTAGTTAAAATTGTGTCTTAGAGAAAGGAACATAAATAAAATGAGAATGATATGATTTTGATATAGCTGAAACTCATAATCGTGCTTTAAAATGGAAAACATTTCAGGAAGGGTGTACTTAGAAGATGCCAATGAAATATCATGTTGTCATAGGCTAATGATTTCCTGTTGCAATATAAATTGCAAGGCAATCTTAGGACATTTATTTTCAAAGCCAGATATAATGATTCTATTAAGTTACTCCGATTATTTTCTGTCATTTTATATGTCTTGCTTTTCCTCCCAAAGCCTCTCCTCTCAAATCTTCAAGAAACAGCCTATTTATTACTCCACAAAAAGGCCTTGTGCTTGTACTGTCACTTTTCTCTGGGGAGAAATCAAACCACCCTTTTGTTCACCACAGATCATCCATGACAAGTTGTGGCTGAACTCACTCAAGGTGCCAACAGCTTTGAAGCTGTTTGAGTGTAGCCTCCATGCTGGGGCTGTGTCATGAGCTGCGGTAGTTGACGGGCTAGCAAATATCCTGAGTCCCCAGCCATGAGAGGGAGCAAGCCAAGAGGGGCTGCAGGCACTGCCATCACTAGATCACCCTAAGACCTATCTGCACCTTCAGCCAATCTACAACCTGCAGCAGAGCACTCCGTGAATCATAAATGGCCTTTCCCTTTCCCTCAGCTTCCTGCAGTTCAAAATGTGTGTCCAATGCTCAAAAACCTTAATCAATTTTATGAATATAGTGCAGCACTCCTCCTAAGAAGCCATACTCCTTTTCTGGTACTCAAGTTCAAGACTGTACTGAACTCTGAAAAAGATGCTTTGATGCTAGATACTCACTTGTGTGGCAGCAGACTAAAAGGTTAATTGCTGATCTAAAAGTATTCAACACCATGTAAAACAATTTCAGCTGATATGCTGCTGCACTGAAGTCACTGCACCAAATTTTAACAGCGCAGTGTTAAAACCAACGCATGGATTAGAAAGGGAAAGGGAGAGAGGGCATCCACAAACGCCTGGGTAACGTTTGTACAGATGCAGCTTACAGTACCCACAGAAGTCTACCTTATCTATAATGGAAAAACTTGAAAATACGTTTGCCATTCACTCCACATTGTTAGATTTTTATCATTATTATTATTCATTTCAGGATCAGTGGAAAATAATTTCAGATGCTACTTTTTCTGTACTCACGAAGAAAAGCAGTAACGACTTCCTATTTGAAGTTTGTGCATGAGTAGCTTCTTATTCTTAATATTTTATGAAACTCTTGTAAAAACTTTTACTTTACAAATAGAATTGTTTTCTACCTAGTCTGCTGGGGTATTTTCAACTCTAAAAATTATCCACATAATATTAAAAAAAGGAGATTAGGTCACTTAGTTTTGAAAATTCAACTAACTAGAACTGCTTTTCAAGCAGGTTTAGACTTCTGACTGAAACCAGGTTACGTTTTAGCGAAGCACATGAAAAACTCAAAAATAGCCTAGCAAAGTGTGTGACGAAGGATGCTGAAAGCGTCTAAGAGCTGTGTATAAAACAGAGTACTATTTACTGCATTAAGTGTACTTACTTACATATTTAAGTAAATAGACATGTATAAATCAAAAAGTAATGGTCAGGCAACAATGAAACAAAAACTGCAATCATTGTTTGTTGTAAAAATTGACACAGCGCTTTAGTTTCAGAAATTTGTGCTTTAAGGCATTCTGGTACTAACCTTCACATTTTCTAATAGTTCACTTTCATCAAACAACTCCCAGTACAACCACTGTCATGAACTACTGTGGTTTTTACAGCTCTCCATAGCTAATGCTGTACCATCTCTGCCAGTGTATGTAAATATAGTCTTAGAATCACAGAATCATTACGGTTGGAAAAGACCTCCAAGATCATCAAGTCCAGCCACCAACCCAACACCACTCTGCCCACTAAACCATGTCCTGAAGTGCTACATCTACACGTTTTTTGAACGCCTCCAGGGACAGTGACTCCACCACTTCCCTGGGAGAGTTTACCACATCATAGCTCAAGAGGTTTGCACCCACGGTGCCTGCAGAGCCAGAATTCAAATGTATCTGATCCCCAGGTATGTATCTGTGTTCCTCTGCCCGACGAGCCAGCCGGCTCACTGTAGAGCTGCCCCAGAGTCAATGTAGGGAGGCAGTGAAAATAATCAGAAAATCTGGGCTGGAGTATGAACTTTAGCTGAGCTACAGTGATGAAGCAGGCACTTATATTACAGCACTGAAAGACTAGAAAACAAGTGCTAATAAGGAACAAAAAGAAAACTAAGAACAAAACAAATGGTGCAAAAATGGGTGCAACACACAGAAGTCTGAAAGAAGAACCAAGGTTCCCTTCCAGTCCCATGTCCTTGAGTTGCAATGTCCTTTGCTAGTGCAATCACATCATAAATGTCTTTATTAAACCAGTCAGGGGCTCTCTCAAAAATATCAGGGCTTTTTCATGCCATTGCAATTACAAAGTTGTTTCAGAACTTCTTAGAATACCAGAAGCAACCCAGATCTTCCTGTATCAGCAAAGAACAATCTTATCTTGCAATGGAAACGTAAGAAACATTTTGTTTAAAAGAAGGTGGCAAGTATTTACATAGTCATCCTTAACTGTTCCCCTAGCTTCTGTGTGTACTCCTGAGAGTATTAATTCATTTCAACAGAGAAAGAAGACACTGTGGCCTCCAGTAAAAACCATCTGACAGATGGCCTTTGCTCCACATCAGCACTGGCTGGCTGCCTTACCACGTGAATTGTGCTGTGCCACATAGCCAAGAGGAGCGATCATGTGACTTCACAGAACTTACTATGTCCAAATATACTTTAACTTATTTTTTTAGCTACTTTTAGTTACTTTAGTTACAGAACAGTGCTGTTCTGTTAGTAATATAGGTATAGATGGGGTGGTAGCTACTGTATAAACCGAGGTAACCTAAGACTTCCTACGTAAGTCTGTACTTGCAAAGGCTTGTAACTGCCATGCTAACCATTTCGACTGGGAGAAGGGAAGGGGGGATGTCTCTGTTTGACATGGGAAGTTATTGCTTTTGTTAGTACTTAAGAAAAATTCAGCTAAACCAGTTTAACATCTTGATAAGAACAGGAGTATAAAAAATATGCCGTTTTTCCTCATGTTAAAAACTCTGCTAACCCTTCTTCAAAAAGCACTAATGCTTGCAGCCTTTGGGAGCTAAGAACATCTGGATAAAGAAACCAGCAAAGAAACAGAAAAATCTGAGAGATTAATATATGGAGTGATTAAGTGGGAGAACAGGACTTGAGCAGGGCTGAGCTGTTGGAAAGGGAAGGGTACAAAAGGGTCAAGTCTGACTGGAAAAGGATGAAAATTTAGTGGATATGGCTGGTGTTAAAACTTATTACTTATATCCCCACATACAAAAACTAAGACTTAACACCAACTTCTAATCTTATACATCTGTTCTCAAAATACCCGAATATTTGTTAAACTCAAACTAAAGGAATGACTGCAAGATAATGATTCTGCCCTGCTTGTGGGGTTTAAGTAAGCATGAGATAAACCAACCCATACTACACAAAAAGAAAACAAGATACTGAATTGCTGCTCATTTAGTAGGCATCATGTGTTCCATGAGCTAAACGAGGCAGGATCCTGCCAGGGGTGTGGGGGGAGGTATGACCACATAGTTAAGCAAAGGCCTCATAACATGAAAGCCCAAAGCGAATGAAGTCAGGTCACATGGATAGTTTTAATTCTGGCATTTCTCCAGTAGGTTTTATGAGGGAACTTGGTTTTTTTTGAAGCAGCGCTTAATATAAATGCATGATCTCATTCATTATCAACTTTGCTTCTTTTGAATAAATAAGTTTCCTGAATGAACAATGTATTTTGCAAAAAGATATTTTACAGAATAGAAAGCAGCAATTGCTCCAGAAAGAAGCAATGCTTTTTTCTGTTCTTAACTATCCAGAAAAAGGGCACCCTAATTTGTTGCTTACAGATTCACTTGCATGAAGGGTGCTCTGTGAGGTTAAGTTCTACAGTAAGAACTTCCTAGGCAAAGATGCAGCATTCTCCTTAACCAACCAATTAACAAGAGGCAAGAAGGCAGGTGGTCTGCCAGGGACATTTTTGTATTTCATGTTCTGCATGAACTCAAAGTCCTCATGATCACTATTCTTCTAGACTTTGTTTATGGCAGTAACTGGGCAACATAAGGAATACTGTTTGTTCTCCCTACTCCATGTAAAGACCTTTGTAACAGTACAATAATATTAGACAGACAAATAGAGGGCTACAAACACAGCGCAACACTTAAGACATTTCTGCAATCAAGCAAAAAGTGCATTTCATAAATATTACACCATTCTGTTCAATGCAGAGCACCTAGGTTGCACCAGGAATGGAGACCTAATGCCTACACACTACTTTCCCCCATATTTGTTACACGAGTCTATAAAGTGAAACACACCCCAAACTGCTGCAGTTCTAATACAGTACACTGTGCAACTATAAATAATTTAAAAAATCATGTTTAAGTCACCACACTACAGTTCTGAGAAGAAGGATTGAGACACAGTGCAGTTTACCTTTCACCATGCATTTGAAGTCACATTATTACCTTTTGTAAAACATCTAAAGCTGTAAGAACCGCTTCCTGTAAACTTGTCAAAACTGCTTCAGTGTAAGATGGAAGGATGAAAGGGGAAGCATCAGAACTGATTGGAACTGAAACAGCACCGTGCAAAATGACACCCAGCTTTTGGAGATCATCCATGCTGAAACCAGTTTTGATGTGCTGGTAAAGAGCCGGGAATATTTGAATTAAAGCTGTAAGAAAAGGCTGGCTGGGAATGAAAGTCAATTTATCACAAGTAATCGGAGGCCTTGTACTTTCTGAACCAATCCTGTACCAGCTGTTCCAGGCCGCCCACCAAAGATTCAAATCTTCAATCTCATCTGTTATTACAGGTGGTTCAGATCCATTGTATCTTCCTATCCTTTCTCCAATGGAGTCAGTTCTCATGAATGACCTGCCAAGGCTAGTGGCAGGTGTTTTTCCTAGCAGTTGTTGTCCCTACCACCACAGGTACAGAAACATTGATAGCCGGTGGTGTGTCAGGCTTCTCTGAGTCTCGGACAGGAGAAACAATTTGTAAGATCTCCTGGAAGCTTTTCAGAGCAGCCAAGGAAACTTCATTATTTTTGCTGAGTGCTGCTGATTGGATGTGATCGAGAAGAACATCCCAGGCTTGGGAAAAGTCTCCTATTTAAAAAAAAAATAAAAAAAAAAAATCAACTTGGAACTGGCTTCCTATCCCCCTTTCCACCCACCCAGTCTCTAAAAGGCTGTTCATGTACTTGTTACTCTAATGCAGAGAAATTTCATGAGGTTAGGCAATGGCTTGAATGACTTTCAGAATATATCAGTTCAACCATAACCAGAAAGAATGAATGTGACGGAGAAACACACAAATATGAAGAATGAAGCAATATATCTATGTTTATGTCAGATTTGCCAGCGAAAAATCACATTCCACATCCCATATCAGAAAAATAAGTTTTCTTTATTCAGGATAGTGAAATCTATTCGTTCTTATACGTACCAGATGCCTGTTGATTTCAAACACTGTTAAGCGCACACAAGGCATTAAGGGTCAAATCTGTAGCCATGTAAGGCATTTATAAAGAATTGATTTTAAAATGCTCTGATAATTGTACTGTGGAGAAAGATTTCATTGTTGGGAGTTTGAGTTTTTCATTAAATTTAGCCTTAACCTTCAATTTTCTATGCTACTAATTACAGGGTTTGAATAATTAAAATAGCCCTGTAACGTTTTAATTTTTTATTCAGTTTTAACTCAAGTTTAACACAGTTTAAAATCTACTACTTTCCACACATGACCAACACTCTTGATAGCTGTTAATATGTTGATATCTGTATCACAAATAACCAAAATGAAATAAACCACAACTTATTTCTAGTTACATATATTCATTGCATACAATGGGATGGTGAAGGTATATTAATGTAATGGGGAATTTTCTTTGCAAGCTATACATTCCCTATTTCTTTTTCACTTTCTCCTTACAGAAATTAAACATTAGGTCATTTACAAAGCTATTGTAAAATATTACTAAGTACAATTGAACAATGTAAATGTTCGATACTTCACTGACTTTACAGGTGACTTCTCCACATTGTAAGAACAATGTTAAACTTGACACACTGATGCCATGGAAGAGTTCCAGGCAAGTGTTACACAAACTTAGAAAGACAAGAGGAAAAATATGTTCTGACAACCCAAAGAACAGAAAAGTTATTACTGTTATCAAGCTACTATAAATTAAAGCTATTTGGTACTCAGAGTTGTCACTAGTGAGATTTTATCTCAAGTACTGTGATACAGAAGATTAAATTGGTACTTACAATTTTTGGTTCTAAGGAGCATGAATTAAAAACTCCATAATTTTCATCACATTTGAGGTGAAACACAATAGAACACACTTTTAAGCTAAGATTGAGATTCTTGCCCAGTACTTTAACTGAAAAAATATACAAAAGCAGAAAGTTTATTACTGTATTTTTCTATAACTTTAAACCATAAATTTTACCTAAAGGCTGCAGTAAGTATCTTCTGGTGTTAAAAATTCTTGCAACTCCAGCCAGTGTTAATACCCATGTCTCAGCCCACTGTTTCTCAGCTGTATCCCTTGAATGATGGATGAGAATGTTGCCTCCTCCTGATTCAATCTTCTCTTTGTCAGCTGTAGTAGAAGATTCTCGAACCCTATCCAACAGGTGAAATAAAACCTGTAATAGTCAGAAAAAGAGGAAAAAAAGCAACTTTTCAAACAACAATTGTATTCAAGGTAAAATAACAAAAAATAGTAATTTTTCCATTATCCTTTCTGTCACTGTGTCACCTTGAGAATTCCCTTATTCTAAACGTCTCTGCAACAGCTAAGAATAAGAATAATCCAACTGATGTTCACCTGAGCACGATCAAAACCACTAAGGAGACTGTTAGCACCGACAGAAGGCTAAAACCAGTGGATCTCAGATACCTCACAGGTCCATCAGGCAGACTCAACTGCACCCTGATTTTTCCACAGGACACAACCAACATGACTGTGATCTAGAACAGGGCATTTGACAGATCCTCTCTAAGAGACCCAGAGTGCAAAACAAAGTTCAATCTGATATCAGATCAGTCCAATCACATGACCCTCAAAGTCTCTGTATTTTCACACAAAGAAACGAGTCATTCATCCTTGTAGGAAAGGAATAGCCTTTTTATCCAACTCCTGAGTAAGAAAGAAATGATCAAGATACAAAAATTACATTTAATAAGCGGCTTTAAGGGCCAGAGAAGAGAAAAACCACTCCCAAACCCCAAGAAATTAGACTTCTGCCACCATACGTTACTTTTAAAAAGTCTTAATAAACTGGCCAACTGGTGTTAAAATAGCATGTCAATGGATATTAAAATGTGAAAGCAACTTAAAAAACCTTCAGTGGAAGCTTACACACCATACCTTCCATATTACTGTGTGCCACGTTGAATGTTGCAATAACGTTCCATGAGCACCAATAGTAGAAAACAACGTCTGCCCAGCACTCTTTCTAACTGCAGGTCGGGGATCCACACACAGTTCTCCAAGTTTGGCATACAGGCATAACCAAAGACAGTCAAATGGTGGTGCAGGGTGAAAAGGTCTATTCAGCATCACTCCCTTTTCTTCTGCCTGTTTCTGCAACACTGCTTCTTCTTTGTTTAGTTCCTTTTCAATTATTTCACCTCTTTGGAAAAAATAATCTGAAATATTCCACTGCAAAATGAATAAGACATATGCTGTTGTACAATAGAAGTATTATAATGCTCTCCACAGTCATGAAACAAATTGTTTCTTGTTTTCACATTTAAAAGTATTTTGCTAAGTACATTAAGATACTAATTTTGGTTAAGTAATGGTTTAAAACTGAAAGAGGGTAGATTTAGATCAGATATTAGGAAGAACTTCTTCACTGTGAGGGTGATGAGGCACTGGAAGAGGTTTCCCAGAGAAGCTGTGGCTGCCCCCTCCCTGGCAGTGTTCAAGGCCAGGTTGGATGGGGCTTTGAGCAACCTGGTGTAGTGGAAGGTGTCCCTGCCCATGGCAGGGGGGCTGGAACTAGATGATCTTTATGGTCCCTTCCAACCCAAACCATTCTGTGATTCTGTGATATGAATTTCCCTACCGTGACGGAAGATGATCAGCACATAAACACTGCAAGCTGCAGCAAATATTTTCCTCAGTCTCAGCTTTCAGGCCCCAGTTATACATGAAGGGAAACAGAAAGGGAATACATGAAAGGGAAACGCATTAAAAAGAAGACACTGATTCATCGTTACAATACAAGACTATTTCTTTAACTAACCCTGGAACCACGCAGATTGAAGATAAATTGTGCTTAATTCACATATATGATTCCAAATGAGAGCATGGGAGTTAAGTAAGAATTCAAAAAATAGGTTTTGGCTTTCGTTTGTGGAATTGACTATGGATTAATTTTCATTTAAAAAAAAAAAAGAAAGCCAGAAGCAGCATCGCTGTAGGTTAATATAAAACTCACCAACAAACCAATTGAAGTTAAGCTAATATTTAGCTCTTGATTGTGAAGTCCAAAGCTTCCTGCAACTTCAACAACTATCTGTAGACAAGTACATGGCATTGTCGGAAGAAAGTCTGTCACAACCAACTGAAGACACTGGAATGCAGTCCGTATTAAGGACTCTCTTAAAAAAACAAAAACAGAAACAAAGCATACACACACTCATTTCCAGTTTCTTCAAGAGCACAGGAATGTTTTGAATACAGGAGCTCAGGAGATAGCATTATTAGGAAAAAACAAAAAATAATCCATTTAATGTTTTTGAGATGAATTTGCAACATTTTATATGTTTCAACTACAGGGTTTGTTGAGACATAACATTAAGTTGAAGCTTCAAATCCTGATAAAGTATTTTAGTCCTTGTTAACAAGCTAGTGAAGTTGAAGTTTAGACTCTCCAGGGGTCCTCAGCTAGTTTTACACAGTAAAATCCACCTCTCTGTTCTAAAGTCCTAGGACTTGTTAGTTCAAATGTGCCAGCTAAAACATTAAAAAAAGCCACGACGGGCAAAACAAAGCTGAAGTTTAAGCATGACAATCTTCCAAAGAGTAAGATGTTCTGAACAAATTTCTTGTATCATCAGTTACAAATTACTTACAAGTATGCCAAATAGGTAGGCAAAATATCTTATTTATTAGAAAAGTATGCTGCCATAATGGTAATCTTACTCGCTTCAATACGGCATTATTTTAGACAAAATCTTTTCAAAATATCTGCCATTAAATGGATCCTTAATAAATACTTTGCCTTCAGAATTTAATTCTGAATACAACCTTAAAATAAAAGTGTACTATAGAAAAGGTTTGTGAGAAGGAGCTCTCAGAAACAGCAAGGTCACCTATAACTAAAACCTTGTTTAGTGAGTGACAAAATGAAGGAATCAAAAGGAGTGGTGGAGTGTAGATAACACAAAACAGGGAAGCTGCATTTAAATTTCACTATAGTTCTAATTTTTTTTTAAATGCTTAATGTTTAATGTACAAAAGAAAAAGTTCCAAAGGTTTGTAACACAGAAAGATAGTGTGCTTCAGAATATATATCCCACGAAAAAATAAAGAATACAGATATATCAGTTATGTATTTCAGAATCCTAAACAAAATAATATTTTTTTAATTAATTCAAAATGAAAGTCATAGGTGAGCCATTTCTACTGTATCATAACAGCCAGCAAGATATGGAAGCCAGAGGAATGCACAAGAAACTTCACACGGACAATAATGGTATAACTAATAATTCTCTAATATGATGCATACTGCACAGAGACATCCACCCTACCAAATAAGATCAAATGATTTATCATCGCTACACTCATGGAGGAAATGCCTACACGCTACTTCCCCCCATATTCATTACAGGAATCTATAAAGTGAAAGACACCCCAAACTGCTGCAGTTCCCTCACCACTACAAAGTTAGAGGTATGTGACCTTCAAGGACTTTAAGGGAGAAGAGAAGGAGGCAGGAAGTGAAAGTATAGTTATACTCCTCATTTTGAAGAGCTGAGTTAATGGGAAAGTAACCTCTCTTTCTGATCTTCACATGCAAGGCCACTAGAACAAATTAAAACTGTTCATTTCCCAATTAATGTTCCACACTACTATGCGTCTGGGGAAGGGTTTCCAAGTCCTCCATGCAAGTGGCAACAGCAATAGAAATGTAAAACGGTCCTTAATGTTACAGGTGGCCACCAAAAAGTAAATATAAACACAAGAAACTTAAGCTTAGCGCGAAAACTTAAGATCACATAGGACTTTATCGATCCTTAAAACAAACAGGGGCATCCCATTGAAAAATTCTTCAAAGACAGACTTCCTTTTGTTTGTTGGGCTAGTACCGTACAATCAAGAAGCAACCAGGTATCACTGGCTCGCAAAATAGCATCTTCTGTATTTATAACAGCCTGGCAAGAAGTTCTCCTGGAAGGTAAATGGATTTCTGTCCTGAAATCCAGAATGTTCACTGACCAGAGGGAATACACTTGGGAAGAAAGTCTCATGGTCAATAAGTTCATATTTAAAGTATGATAATAGTGCCCGTATCTTGTGCTTACAGCTCTAAGTCAGGTAAGAAATACAGCTGTTTCCTAAGGAAAAGGAGGCTTGATTTAATTTTTTTTCCTACTGCAGTTGACATGACGTGGGCAAACAGTGCTATGTAGCTGAAGAAAAACGGATATTCTACATGCATTGTAGGAGGACACCAAGATGTATCTTGAGATACCTGCCAGTTAGGTACGGATTTGAGATGTAAGGGGATCTGAAGACTGTCTTGAGAAGGAATCTGTATTGGTTCCCATCTATCAACCACAGCAATGAAAATCAAAAGGCTTGTAGGAACCACAGGACACATTACACCAAGCGTGGAAACAGCAGGTACCAAGGGAAGCATGGTTACCAAAAAGAGGATGCTCACAACCAAAAACGCCAACAACATCCCTGGGGATTTTGGTGAGTACTACCGCCAGAGCAAGCAATACTGGTACAAGAGCAAAATGCTTCAAGCATTTGAAGGGGCTTTAGGAGGTCTTCATAGGGCCAGAAGACAGAAGTTAAGGTAGGGTGAAAGGAGAAAGATGCCAAGGTGAATTTTTCTGATACCAGTTATTTGATAACCTATCCTGGTGCTAGTCAAGACTAGCACCAAAGGAGGAATAATAAGGTCTAAGTGTGTGCGTATAGTTCTTGGTGCTTACAGTTCCAGGGTCAGATGTTCATCTCGCTGTTCATTTCAAAAAACTCCTTGCAACTTCGCCTCTCACTTTCCCTTGTGGGCAAAAGGACCAGTCCAGTAATATTCCCCCTCTGTTGGCAACAGTCTCAGCTGTGTTAGTCAGTCAAAGGGATTCACCCACAGCACGTAAACGGTATTTCATCCTTGTACTAACAGCAGCCATTTAGGGAGGAAGGACTCAACAAAAAGAGAACGCGTTCAGAAGATGACACACACTAGAGACTACAGAAAGATTTAAGAAAAAGAAACAACAGAGGAACTGTGAGCAACAGCTGAGTCATACAGAATTATCTGCAAGCACCAGAGATGTGTCCAGCAGATGTTAAGATCAAATGAATTGGCATGACGAGTAGGCCTCAGTGTATACTGCACACCGATGACACGAGATGGTAGAGTGAAACAATATCCTGGTCTTCTGGAAGGTTAATTCAGTAAAATAGAAGTGCGCTACAGAAAAAATTAAAAACTATGTTTTTGTTGAGTAAAATTGTTCACAAGCTAAAAATGGCAATGAAAATTATGGCTATTAATGTAAGAAAGTAAAAGCAGAACTCTTTCTACTGTTCTTATCTTACATGACTTTAAAATCTTATTTCCACCACTTACCCCTGATCACTTCGGATTGCCCCCATGACTCCAAGCACCAATGGCCAACCAGGTCCTAAGCTGTCACCCTGACTTTGCAAAATCTGTAGTACACACTCCAACTGCTTGATCCTGATATCAGGATGACTAATGTTTGACAGTTCCTTTAGTGGATTCAATAAAAGCAACTGCAGTCTCTAAAAGTAAACAATAAAGCATTTTAAGGGTACTAAAATGTAACTGATCCTTAATTATTTTTATGTATAATAAGTGAAAACATACAGTACCAACTGAAGATTCATCAAGTTAATTCAGTAACTCATTCATTAAATGCTCAAATTCGGTGTCAGACTGGCCTTTCTAAAAAAACTGTTTATAAAGGATCTCAGCAGGAAAAAAAATTTTCCTTTTTTCTCCCCCTCCCCCACCCCCCACCTGTTCTCCAGGTCCCTCAAGAAGTAGCTACAGCATGCTGTCACAGTTACAGAAAAATCATCATGCAACTTTATGCTCAACCAGCAGGACTAGACTGAGCTTCCTACTAAAGAGAGCTTGAAAAAAACTATCCATTGAACCTCAGTAAAAATATTAGACTGTTGTACCAATAATGGATTGAACATCTGTGATTTAGAAGGTTAGACAATTTATTTTTTACCTGCCACCACACCACATACATACTTCTAAACATTCTGGAATTGTTTTGCACTCATGCGGGTGATCCACAATTTCTTCTAACAAATGGACATAATATGCAAGCATCATCACTCATTGTTATGCATTTGAAAAAGGAAGGAGGGCAGTTCATTAGAATGCATGAGGTGATTCTCAATAGTTACATCTGAATGTTACAGCTGTAGGCTTTATAAACTCAATAGTAAAGTTGCTTTATGAATGCCTCCTATTCATTGACTGGTAGAAAACTTCCTCTAGGGAAGATTTTGATTTCATGTTCACTTTAAGTTCCAGAAAAGGAGGAAAGCAGCTGCTCTCAAATTTACTTTACCTGATTTTGAGATAAAGGAGGGTCATGGCTGAATGTCAGTCCGGCTTTAATAAGAGAAGTTAAGGCTTCTGCTCCCCATTCTCTCATTCTGGAGTTTGGATGCTGACAGACCTGCAAACACAGCAGTGTTTTGTTTAAAGTCACTTTTATTTAACCAAGATTTGAATATAAGTAGCGTATTAAAAATTAATTTTAATTATATTAGAATTTATATAAAATATTGTAATAAACTTTTTTACAACAATACAGTAAATCTCTATATGATAAAATTTGGTTTAATAGAAAAAAAAAGTTTGTTTTTTGGACAGACATACCTTCTGAATAAGGAAGCAATAGGAAGCAGTGAAAGACAGAAGGAAAGATAATGAAAAACACAGCAGTTCAAGCCAATATGTTTTCCAAAATGAATATACTAAGAGCTAATTCTGATAATGACTGACTAAAAAGGACTAAACAAGTCCTCAATGAATGCCTGAAACTCTCAGGTTTAACTTAGCCTTAAGCTACTACAAAATTCAAAGTTTCATCTTTCACACACTGCTTAACACAATCAAGTGAGGAAGCACGACAGCAGCCAACACAGAAAACGTCTGTTCTATATTCTCAGATACAAAAAGTAATGACATAGTTACTTTTAGACACAGAAAATAAGCCTTACATTCCAATATTTCAAAAACTTGACAAAACAATAGGGAACACTATTTCAAGCTTAAGTTTCAAATATGCGTCTTCATTTCCCTTTGTCTCCTAATTCTCTAAACCTAATAGTTTTGCTAATTGCTATTTTTTAGAACAGAAACATTAAAACAGTTATGTAAATGCATTGCATAGATACCTAGTGTAAACCATAGTCCCATATCTGATACATTATCCTCAAACAAATAAGATAAGTCTACAGTTTCATTGACCTCTATATATTTCCACCCAGACTTCCAGCCCCATGTCAGATGGTGTGAGAATTCAGAATCAAAGTCCAAGGCAGGATCATAAGGAAGGCTGATGGTTTTGGTTGGTGGACCATTCCCTTAGTCACTAGCCAAAATGAAAAGGAGGGCAACACAGAAGAGCCAGCTTAATGTTAAAAAAAGCAGACAACACACAGCTGCTCTCCTGAATTACTTATATTTTTGACACCTTATATTAAAAAAAAAAAAAAAAAAAGATAACTTGAACTCCTTCATGATGCTCTGAATCTGACCAGATAATCAGTTCCAGAGACAGGGAATGAATTCTTCCCTCAGGTTGTGTTTAATTGACTTTGCAGCTGGTGTTTTCTCCTTCTTTATTGTACCTTGGCGACTTCAGTTTAAAAGGAAACAAGGTGATATTTTAAAAAAGAAACAGTGTATTTCCTACAAAACAGTGGCAAATACCCACAATGGATAACAGACTGCTTACTAGATGAAAACAGAGTCTCAAGATGTAGATGGTGAACCTTATTGTCTCAGAAGGGGGGGGGAAGACTAGAGAAAGAGATACCTGTGCTTTAAGTCTTTAAACACCTAAGTATCTAAATTTCTCCTAGATAAAACATTATGTGGTTAGAGATGGCCAATCCTTAATACTGTTTGAAATAATGCATTTGTTCTAAGGAAGTGTCTGATACTTTCTGGAAAACGAGGAAGAAAAGCTTTCTCCTTTACCCACTTTAAATCAAACCCTGTTCTTGCATTTCACTCTTCTACTTATCTATGTAGAGAATTAAAACTTTACAGTTACATTCTGTCACCTGGCTTTAGTTTCAAATTAAAAATGTAAGGGTTTTTTTCCTCAATGAAGTGTATTTTTCATGTTGAAGTTAAAATACTTCAGAAATTGAAATAGGATTAAGACACGTATTTTTGTGTTTTTACAGTATTCTCATAATGAGACCATTCAAAATGTTACCTTAAACATTTTTAAAACAAACAAATCCTTTGTCAGTAAATCCAATGGCTTCAATCTATCTGGTAAGGACACATAAACATATCTTAAAATCATCCATTGTACTATATGAATCCAAAGTGAAAGCTGTTTGTGTTACCTTAATTATAACACATACATGAATTATAATTAATTGACCATTTTAAACATTGCTGTGTTTAAAACATACGAAGACTGAGGGCACCATAAAACATGAAGTCAATAAAAGATATTAAAATACTGGAATATATAAAATCACTTTTAAATTCAAATTGTTAACACATTCAAGTTGCAAAACCAAAGTGTATAAATCAAAATATGTAAATACAATTCAATTTTTTTTAAATTACACTTTAAAAACACATTTCCACAAGATCTTTATTAACACAAACTTAAGTTCTAGTACAACTGATAAAAGCCATTAGTTACCTCCAGAAGATGACCAGTCAGAGGTCTCCAAAGAATCTCAATCCTGTGCATGTTAACTAGTCCTGTTTCCAGTAATTTAGCAACAGCAAAAAGCGATGGCTCCTTAATAAAATGGAATTTGAACATATGACTTTGAGGTAACTCGGACAATTTCAGAGCCTTTTGCTACATTATAATTTATAAATTAAGGTGCAACTACTCTCAACGAAGTACTCTGTTTCATAGGCTGTGAACGCTGTCACAACAGCTTAGGTAACAGGGCCGGGAAGTTTTCACAGCATGTGCAGTACTTCATGAGAAGCCACAAGGGGGTAGCAACAGCATACCAGGAAGAACAAGTCTTCCACAATTTTTATAGTTTTCTCCAAGTTTGACAATAACGAGAGCATTGATAGTCCTTTCAAAACTCTCATTTTTACATAGTCCTCTCTCCAACCGGTTTTATAACATATTTTACCAGCAAAATAGCCTTTTTCCCATCATAACTTTTAAAGTTAAAATTATATATGAACAAACAATGTACAATATTTTATTTAAGAATCCCCTTATGCTTTATCTTACATCAGCTTCATAAATGCCCTGCAGAAATACAATAAATTTCCCACTCATCAAATACATATGGAAACATTTGTGACAAACTACTGGGTTTTTTTGTTGTGTTTGTTTTTGCTTTTTTAAATCAACATATAGTGAAAATGACCATTGCGCTAGAATTACTCTGTTCCCGTTTCTGCTACTTTTTTGTTCTCATTTTCAACTGATTTTAAACGCAAACTTTACTTATTTTAATTCATTCTCTGTTGCTGTAATTGTTGCGTATTATAAAGCATATTTTCTGTCATCATTAGTCCTAGCGTAATAGATCACAGAAAAACTTTCAGAAACTCTCCTCTGGGATTAGATTATGACTAGGAGAATAGATACTCAATCTTAACTCAATCACAGGGTCTTTAACCTTTCTGGGCTAAAAGTTGTTTACCAAGGCAGACGGAATACTATATTTTTCCAAGTAAACATGAATTATCAGGGGTTTTTTAGTATCTAAATTCTCAGGCTTTTTCTGAAGTATATTATAAAAGAAAATTGAAATGAAAATGAGTACCTTACAGAACATACTGTGCTATTCAGAAACCCTAACCTCTGAAATTACAAGGGCTTTTGAAAGTCTTATCCACCCACAATCTGATTAATGGAAACACATGACATTCCTTAGTTAACAAAAAACATAGCAGGAACACAATGAGCATGTTCAGAGAATTTAGTAGTTGTACGAACCATTTTAAACAAGACATTCTCTGGTTCATAATTCATTTTTTACTCTAGAGTATCAAATGTATCACTGTCTTAATATTAGAAATAGTTATCTTAAAGGATAAATGTTCAAGTCTTCTGCCTTTTTCACAAAAACATCTAAAAAAGAAAATAAAGAATTCTTTTTGTACCTTATTGTTTCCATAGGCCATATCCATGGCTTCCAAAGACAAGGAGCAAAGGGCATTTATTAAGTGATGTAAAGACACATCGTCAAGGTACCTGAAAAATAACAGCTATCAAAACACTGCCAAGTTTGATACACACACATTATTTTAATTATAAGATAAGGTTTCTTACTGTGAGCTTTCAAAAAGCCTTGAAAGTATGTTGGATATAACTGGCAGATCAGTCATAACTGCTGTCGTCAGAACCTTGAAAAAGACAGAAATGTGTCTCACAGATTGCAACAGAAAATACTGCATAATCACTAACTGCAAAATGACCAATCACACGCTTACCGTGCTGGGCCCTTCTACAGCTCTTCCAGGTTTTAATGCACCCCCAACACCAGGCTTCAGTCCCAGAATCCACACAAGATGCTGAAATACAAAAGTATAATTTTCAGCAGAAAAGCCTTTTCAGGCAGAGCGCAAGCTAACGTCGTACTCAAGCGAGCCAGCAGTCTTCCAGTCAAACAGAATTCAAGGGAAATGCTAAAGTACTTACTCAAGGCAATTCAAAGTACACCACAAGTAGAATCAAAGCTGCTTCTATTGCTCAAAAACTCAAAACCAAATTATGGCAAAAAAGCAAGGCATAAAAATTTCCTATTATACCTGAAGAGTAGCCAGGACAAGTTGCCATGATGTACCAAGAACGGCTCCGTGGCAATGAGCTAAGTTGAGTAATGTCCTCATACACTGGATATTTTTCGAAGTCAGCTAAAAAAAAACCCAAACAACAAACAGCCACACAATTTTTATTATTCTACAACAATAGCGTTTCTAGGAAACTTGGAATTTTTCACTTTTTTTTGCACCAGCGCAATGTATCATTTTTAGAGAAGTATTTCAGTATCTCTCCTTCTCTGAGTCTTATCTTGCTGGGGTTGAATAGGATTTGATCACTGCCCTCTTCTCGTAGTTTCACATTATTATCAAAGGCACACAAAGTTCAAGCACTCTAGCTTTATGCGCATCTTCTCCACAGAATCAGAGTCTATCTCAAAAAAACATATAAACGAACATTCACACACAGGCACATAAGACAGCTGAGACCTAGGGTTTTTCAAATGGAATAGATGGGAGCTGCTGAGCTAAGAGGCAAAACAAAAACGAAGAGTAAGTCTTCTTTACTGTTAAAGCACTTTGTGGTCCAGGGCTGATCCAAATTAAAACAGTATTTTAGATAACCATTATTTGTAAGAATGCTGTTTATCTGTTGCCTGGTTTTGAGACACACTGAGATGCAGAAAGAAGCAGTTAAGCAGGATAAGATCACTTACAAGTTGTACTTACCATTACTGTTCCCTGTGGCTGAAGAGCTAAGGGTTGCCCTACTGCTACAACTTGCTGATGAGACTCGCTTGAGGGACTGATCATTTGAACATTCTGTCCCTGAATGGAATAAGCTAAAGGAAAATTGAAAAGAAAAAAAAAATAAAATCTACATTTAAATCCAGTACATAATTGTAGTAACAACCAGCTTCTGGCAAACATACTCCAGAGAATTTTTTCACAGTATTAATTTTAAGGTAGCTCACTTTCAGACCTTTAGTTATATTATGTCATTGCCTTGCAGAGTTAAAGGAGCCAGTAATTACTACCTCTCAATAACTATTAGATATTGCTTGCAATACAGTAATACATTTTATGTCAACACTGAAATATCTGCACCAAGATACGAGCATTAAACTATGTCTTGACTCAGTTATCTGTGGTAATTGTGTGTGTGCTACCATTGTACTACTGCACGCAGAAAATGAAGATGTCATAAATGCTATGTCATGATGTCATGATGCAAATACAAGACTTCAGGACAGCCATTTTATAACTCACCTGTAAAAAGGAGAGTAACCTATATAAAATAACTTCAGTTCATTGCTTCATTTCTATAGAGATTCATGTAGCTCAGTCACATGTACTGCTTCACAGACTTACAATCTAATAATAAACTCACCTTGTGGGCTGGAGTGAAAGTGCTGGTCCTTGTTCTCAGACTAAGGTATTTTGTTTTATATTAAGAGGTTTAATGTTAGATCCATCCGTATATTCTCCAGGTAGTTGCATTTCTCAGTACACAGCAATTAATTTTCAAAATCAGAAACAGCATACACCCTCAACTGGCATATCCCATGAATTACAACTTTCTCTCAGGACATGGGAAGTGTCAATTCAACTTCATGTAAGAGCCCAGAACTAAATGTCTTCCATTTAAGCAGTAAGTACTACCATTACTAGACAATTGTAGAAAAGACCATAGTACACCACAATGCAGGATGTTCTAGACAACTCTGAAGCATCTGAGTTGCCCAGAGACTGTTTTATAATTTTCATACCTTAATCACATAGCCTAACAGATCTTTAAGATGACAGACAGATCTCCACAGAATATGAACTTCTGACATATGCTAAGCATTTAAGCTGACTAGAATGATACTCAGCAGATGCTGCAAGACTAACTAATTCTGCTAAGCAGGCCATCTAGATCCTGTCTGAGGATTCCAACATAATTTAGCATAGCCAAATACCAAGTTGCACATCTTTGAACCATGTCCTGAGAAAATCTGGGTTTAGAGGACAATACATGGAAACGCAATTAAGGAAAACCTATACACTTACACTTGCTGGACAGAGCTGCAGTTGTGCTGTTTAATACAGTAAGGGCATAGTGAGGAGGCAACGATCCTTTGCAAATGGCAGTGATAAAGGCATCTCTTGATGTTACAAGACCCAGTCTTCCACAAAGCGCGGCCATGGTCAATTCTGCTTTTAGAATATTTTCAGTGGCAGCTTCATCGGTGCTGAAAGAGTACACATCATTTAGCAAGAATTAATCCATGTCATGGAAGCAGGCAGCTAACCAAAACTGAAAGCACTGAGAACATATACTTTAAACCTGTCAACACTATAAATACTGAAGAGCAAGCACAACCAATCAACAAAATTATTCAGAACCATTTCTTATAAAATAGGTCTTTAGTTCTGAATAACTTGGCAAAGGAGACTATGAGGAGGTATTTAACACTAATTTCAGAAAATGGTGTTTGATAACAAAAGACTCTCTGAAAGATACAATTAAGTTACCAAAGTTATTACCTGCTAAACAGCTCTTCCACTTCAAAGACTGCAAAGCAGTAACAAGAACTGAGACACTATTTAGTCTCTTACCAACAGTAATCAGGACATTGGTAGAATCACGTCAACGTGTTGAAACATTCAGTCAAAGTAAAAACGGACAAGCAGTTTAAACACAAGCCTTTGAAAATTTATTTAATTGTTCTATAGTGAAATATATTAAAGGTTGATACTAGAGTTCTGCAGACTTCTGTGTCATTTACTCTTAACAGATCCTCACTTAGTCTAGCCATCACTAACCCACAAACCTGTCTGCTCAGGTGCCATGAACAGTGCTGCCTAATACAACTGTCAACTTGACTGGTATCAAGTCAGTTCAAAATACAGCTTGAAAAATCAAGAGAAATGAAAGACTGAATACCTTGCATCAAGCAGGAGGGATAAAGCAGCCAGAAGACCACACCAACAAGCATTCACCATTTCTTCCCAGACAGCTCTGCTAACTTGAAAGAAATACATATACTGGTTTATAGCAGAAACCCAGTATTTTACTTCACAATTTTCAAATATATCACGAACAAAATGCTTCCTACCGCATCTTTCAAAGCGTGTTTCTGTATGTTTGTGTGCATATACACAAACACACTCACACCAGTACGACTTAGAAGTTGCATTTGAAGTAACATTGCTGAAGTAAAAAACGTCACCAAGGCAATGCTTATTCTGAATTACACGGACACAAATCCTACAAAAGTGTGTATCGCTATTTCTAATCTTTGTCTGTAAAAACAAGCATTCAGAAGTGCCTAAGTGCGGGCCGAGATACTAACTGAAATTTTTGCAGGGAAGGACAACGACTCTCCCCCGGTATTTGTAATTCTCCGTAATCCGAGAGGCACAGGATCGCGGGCCTGGCAGCCCCACCGCCCGCC